AGTTGCACATGCAAAAATGCACATTCCGTAACGCGCTATACGAAAATATAAATAAATAAAATTCCGTAATAAAGCATTGCGAAAGAAAACTTGCGAAACAAATCATTTCGTAAGAATACTTACGAAATAGTTCCTTACGGAAAAAGCATTCCGGAATGTGCAGTTACGAAAAAGACGCAAAAGATTTTATGTTACGATATATTTAAGATATTAACTGTTAACAGTTTAAATAATAAATAATAAAATTATAAAAAAATGTTGTCAAATGATTCTTTAAATGTTTATACAAATATACCTATATATATATATATATATATATATATATATATATATATATATATATATATATATATATATATATATATATATATATATATATATATATATATATATATTTATAAATATATACATATATATACAGTTAAATCCCGTTAAGTTGGACTCTCAATGAACAGATAAACAGTATGCCTTTCTTTTTAAAAAGTATAAAGAGGATGTGTGATAAACAATTAAATACTTTATTATAAAGAACGAGAGACCTCTCTAAAGGTAAATGAGTAAAAAGAAAAGAAATATATGTGAAACATATATGTGAACCTGGGTCTACGCGGCCAAATGTCTTAACTGAATGAGCTATACGTTCATTCAACTAAGTGAATAGTAATATTTATTTAATATATAATTAAGAAACTATATAAAACAGAATTTACAGAAAGAGATACGTATGCAAATAGGATTCTATATATCAGGAAAATGAATAGTAATGTGAACCTTTAGATGCTTATAATTAATATCTGGACTCAAAAACTAATTACTTTTAATGGAACACAATAGGCTGTAGGAGCCTCAGGGAAATTATATTTAGAAATGGTTATACTAGATTCAGAGTTAGCTAGAAATTATTACAAAGTATTTAGGACAGATGTCTAGTACAAAAAACAAAAGATTTAAAGCAAAATGATTTATATTATTCGAAAAAGTTGTTTTACGTACATTTCATCATAATTTAAGTAGAACTTAGTAAAGCAAGGGAAACGTGTTGAATTAGGCACAATGAACTCAATCTTAAAATAATAACTAACAGAAGAGAGGTTGTCACTATTGTAAAGGTGACGAAAGATCTGTAATATAGAACATGGAGGTCAAAAAATGCTATCTTAAGTAAAAAGAGTTTGATGAACAAAAGTTACAATGGCTGCGGAATGCGAACCCGGATCTCTGCGGCGAATTATCAAGTATCTAACTGATTGAACTATACAATCTTATACTCAAATTTATATCTTATTAAAATTAAAAAACAATATTTTCTAAGATCTATACTTCGAAAAGCGTGTTCAAACAGGACTCTACATACCTTTAAAATCTGCTAGAACTTTAGTAACGTGCACACTTTTAAAAACTATTGAAATAGGTATATTTTATCAGAAATATGCTTAAGCTAAAGCATATATTTGAGCCTCTTTTTACTATTTGCTTAAGCATACTCGTACCTGTTTCAAAATTTTCATATGCTTAAAAAAAAAAACATGTATATTCCTACCCATCATTCTTACTTTTAATATACGTAATGAGTTCAAAAAACATCGTTGTATATATTTATTATGGCACGTTTCGTAAGTTTATTTCCGTTAAGAATTCTTTCGTATGTTGTGATCCGAAATACTTTCGTTTCGAAAGAAATTTTATTTTTTATCAATATTTCTAAATATAAAACCATAAAGATTTAATAGTTATTATACTGAAAATAAAAATTCATTATAAACATTTTGGGATTTAAAGATGTTAATTTTTACAATTAAAATCAGTCTGGCAAACAAATTTTCTTTATAGACTTCAAAACGTCGTTTGGCGAAAATGTTTGTTTCGCAAGTGCGACTCCCGAAGCTGCTACTTTCGTATGTTGCAAAAAAGTTTTGTTTCGTATGTCAACTTGCGAAATGCTAAATTTCGGAAGTGGCTTTTGCGAAATGAACATCGGCGATTTTAAATGTTTTGTAACATTCGGTACGAAAAAATGTAATTCCGTGTTCTCAATCTCCTTACGAAAGAATGTTGTTTTTCCGGAATTGCACGAAATCCTCCGGTTAACAACCCTAATAAAGATAATTAAAGTTTCAAACAATTATATTAGCTTTACATGTTTTTTTTTTTATGTAAATCGATTGCAATTGATGGAATATCTTTAAAAGACAGAATTCACAAAATAATGCTGAGGTAATTTAAAATATTTTTAATTATTTAGCAGTTTTAAAGATTAAATCATTTAGCAAAAAAGTTGTTTGATAATGAGTTTAATTTAAATTTAAAAAAGAATTATTATTAGTTCTCGCATAATTAATATCAGTTGTCTTATCAATTAAAATTCCAATAATTTTGTGACCTCCATGAATATGAAGGTAAAAGGTAGAAATATGCTTTAAGAGCACTATTTTATATGGTGTAGTGAAAGGTATACCTGTATAAGATATGTAAAACTTTTTTATTCTCATTTTTTATATATTCAAAAACTTCTCCTTGTGTTGTTTTTTTTTTCAAATTCTTTTTTATTAACAGCTTCTTCTATAAAATACGATGGAGCGACTAAAACTTTAATTGATGGCAATTTGTGTAACCTCTTAAAATGCCATCTATTTCGAAAAGATAGAGGAAAAGAAAAAAATTTAGACTGATTGATATAAATTTATATTTATAAAAAGAAATCTAAAATTTCTTTATTGAAATATTTAAATATATTTCAATAAAGAAATATTTTTTTTTGTTTGCTAATATTTTTTTTTCAGTGTTAATTCAACATTACAAATTAAAACTCAATTATGAAAAAAGCCTAGGATTGAGTTAACGGTTTAAGTAAAATAAGGAAAGCGCAAAAAAATGTAATATTTTTATTTTTTAATAAAAAAAAGTTCTAATAATGTTTAAAATTGGAATTAATATTAATGTTTATTAGATAAAGATGAGTGAAAAATAAGTTAATATTTACTAGATAAAGAAGAGTAAAAAATAAGTTAAAAGTTATTTTTTGGTCTCTAAAATTATTTGAATAATAATTTTTTATTTATTAAAATAGTTTCTTTTTTAATTTTTGTTATTATCTTATTTAGATGTTTATGTTTTAGCAACCTAGGACTCTTTCATTATTTTTCTTTGTTATTGAGCTTAAGTTATTTTTACATAATATATTCAGAACTCTGCTGAATAATAGAGTAATAAATAAATTAATAAAAATGAGTTTAAAATATAATAAATTTATAAAATAAAGAGAATCTTATCTTTGCTAATAATGTCTATTAATATTATTGTTTAGTAAGTATCACGGTTATAAAATGTTTAAATTTACTTAGTTTAAATAGGCCTGTTAGTACACTTATATTCTGGTTTCTTCATTTTATTATTAGTTCATGTAACGTTTTTAAAATAAAATATGTGGAAAGGAGGTGTTTGGAATAATGATTTACAAGAAGAAGTAATTCCATATAATTGGATTAGTGATAAAACTGTTTGTCAGCTTCCAGGTACCAAAGAATTGACTGCCCTAAAATGCAGAGAAGAATTGGCTTAAGTTTATACAAATAAAAACTAAATTCTCTTTAGGTATTTCATCTATATATTACAATTATAATTTTTTAAATAATGTGGTAAGAAGAGTTATTTTGTTAATACAAAATATATAACTATATGTATAACTATATCAATTCCAAAAGAAAGCAAACCTTGTGAAAATTTTAAATTTACGACTACAAAAGAAAAATGTGATAATGAGAATGTTGACAAGTGGATGCAAGATTTGCACACAAGTGGAAACTTGGATGCAAATTTTCCACTTATGTGTTTTGGATGGTTCTCCACAATATAACATATCTTCACAAGCATAATATTAGATTTTCTTTATGTTTTTTACAGATAAATCAAATTAAGTTAATTGGTGGACGTCTCCTTAAGATAGAATACTCAAAATTATGCTGAGATAATCAAAAACAGTATTGGACTCTTACCCCATTTATAATCAGGGTGTGTACAGCTCCTCTAAAATCCTCTAAAGTTCTCTTTTTTTTAAAACCACTTCTAAAACCTCAATTATCCTCTAAATAATTTTTGATGGAAGTGTAATGTTCAAAATACCCATTCTCTATCTGCAAAACTGGTTAACGCCTTAAAGTGCATGGAATTATAAAAAATTGCTTTAGCAAATACATGCTATTTAATATGAAAAATGACATTTTTGATCCCTGTCCAAGCCCCATAAGTGTATAAACATGGACGTTCAACCATTAATAAATGGTCGCATAAAATTTCTTATAAAAATTTTATGTGGCTACCCCGAAAATTATTTTTCAATGCTAGAAATGTTTTGTATTTTGATTATTAATTTATTTTGAAAAAAGGCTGTTTTATTTAAACTAAATATTTGAAAAAGTTATTATTACCAACTAACAGTTATGTTATTTTTTAAAAATTCAGAGTATTTTCGAAAAGTTATATGGCCTCCACGGATATGAAGGGAACAGGTGGAAATGTTATATATATATATATATGTTTTATATATATATATATATATATATATATATATATATATATATATATATATATATATATGTTTTATATATATATATATATATATATATATATATATATATATATATATATATATATATATATATATATATATGTTTTTAGAACACTTATCTATATGGCGTTGAAAAAGATATACCTTCATAAGTTGTAGCACTTTTCTCTTCATTATATATTTTTAAAAATTTCCCCTTTTGATTTTTTGTATATATTTTTTTTATTTACAGCTTCTTCTATTGTATTCAATGGACTAAAAGAAATCTCGGTTAATGGAACATTGTTTGACTTTCTAAATTACGCTCTTTTTCAAAAAGGTGGTGGAAAAGAAAAAAAATTTGTGTAGATTTTATTCAATTTTATGTAAATATATGTAATATTCAAATATATTTTTCAATATAACAAGTTTTATCTCTTTTGTTAATCATACCAAGCTATTTTAACTAAATTAATCTGAAAAAGTTCTAATTAGTCTAAGTATAGACTATGAATAGATTTAATATCCCTAATATACCTTGACAATGTACAGCAACACTAATGTACATGCATAGAACGTTTTGATGGTGATCACATTTTGACGCACATAGCACGTTTACACACATATATACATTTTGACATACATAGCACGTTTTAATGATAAAAAAGTGTTTTACAGTTGTTTTAACTTTGACAAATCAACGTAAAAAAAAATATCATTTTAAACGTTGTATCAACGTAAATTCAACGTTAATGTAACGTTTTATCGTGTCGAATCAACGTTGATATAATGTTTTAACCTAACGTTGAGTTAACGTTAATAAATCAACGTTAAAAAAACAATCATTTTAAACGTTGTATTAACGTAAATTCATCGTTATTTTAACGTTTTTTTGCGTCGAATCAACGTTGATATAACGTTTTAACCTAACGATGATAAACCAACGTTGAAAAAAACTTTCATTTTAAACGTTAAATCAACGTAAATTCAACGTTAGGTTTCAACGGTATTTAAACGTTATTTCAACGTTATTTGCCGGCTGGGTTTAATATTTTTTTTAGATTTAATTTATAATAATAATAATCATAATAAAAATAATAACAATATATATATATATATATATATATATATATATATATATATATATATATATATATACATATTTACGTTATATATATATATATATATGTATACTCATATATATGTTTTTAAATATATAAACATATACATATGTATGTATATATATATATATATATATAAATATGTATATATATATATATATATATATATATATATATATAAATAAATATATATATATATATATATATATATATATATATATATATATATATATATATATATATACATATATTCATATATACATATTTATATATATTTATATACATATATATATATATATATATATATATATATATATATATATATATATATATATACATATATATACTTATATTTATATATATTAAAACTAAACAAATATACAAAAATACAAAAAATACATATATATACTTATATTTATATATATTATAACTAAACAAAAATCATACAACTGGTTGTAAACTCATCTGATTGTAGAAGAGGAGATAACTGAGTGCATCTTACTTCTCTTGATGAAGTACCTAAAAGATGTAATAAAAAAATTTGAAATGCCACTTGTTGAATGATTTTTAAAAAAATGATGTTTAAAAAGAATTTAAAACACTATAACACCAACATTTAAATAATTCATAACACTTAACACACCCCGTGTAACACAAATTAGACCTTACATGCTACAACACAATCATCATACACCAAACTTTTAAGAATTACCTTAAAGATCATGTATATATCGCACATCGCGACATAAACAATATATTTAAAATACTTTTATCACAATTCATCAAGAATTAAATATTGCATAATGAATTTTAGGAAAATTTCTTAAGTAAAATCTTCACAACTGATATTTACATAAAAATTAGACAAATGACATGATGCAAACCTTAAAAATCCGCAAAACTGGTGTTGAGTTTTTTTAAACAAAGATGATACCAAAGTTACTTTAACTCAAATTATATTAATTAATAGAAGACAGAGACTTAAATAGTATACTAATAAACTAATCTAAAGATAATAAATCAATAGTTTCTAAATTAGATTGTCCTCAAAATTTTAATGAAAATTTTTATTATTAATTAATATTTTTTAAATTCGTAGAATTTATTTGTAATTATAAAATTTTTTCAAAAAATTTAAAATTAAAAGTGAAAAAGAGTCAGGTGCTAACTATATTTACCTTTTAAAAAACTCTTGCTGTTAGTTACTTTTGAACTTTCATCACTAATAGTTACTTTAGAAGTTTCATCAAGAACTAATATAATTGTTTTTTAAACATAAGTTGTATTAAGGTAAACACATTCGTTATTTGTCAACTAGGGAAACGCTAGATTTTTTTGTTGTGACTTTTGTTCTGACTTAAACATTTGTCTATCTATTCAATATAAGCAGCTATATGTTTTAGGTATAGAACAATTTAATTTATTTTGGAGAGCTTAAACTTGATATTTTGGGGTTAACAAATTACTTTTTTTTACTACGATAAGAATTTTAAAGTGTGCTGACGCAAAAAATTAAATTTTATAAAATAGTTTTTACATTTCTAGATAGAACAGGAAAATTTCTAAATATTTTATGCACGTCTTTGTAAAAGTGAAAAAAAAAAAAAAAAATTCCACACTTATTAGCAAATAAAAACAAAGAAATTTAAATTAAAATTGATTTATTTTGATTTAAACCTATTTATTTTTAGAAAAAGCAATTCTTAAAAATTAAAAAAAAAATTCTTAAAAATTAAAAAAAAAAGTAAAATAAAATCATTTAACTGTATCCAAATTCAGCATAGTGTTGAGTAGGCGTCGAATACGGAGAAACAATTGCTGCACTAGATGAAGAATCTAAATGATGTGTAAAAATAAAGAGATTTGTTCAAATAACTCATACCACATAATAAACCCCATACGTCAAAAATAAAGCATTACATGCTAAAACACAAACATCACACAAAACACTTTCCTATATTATCTTAATAAAAAAGAACTACTTTCTATCTATAATAAAGTCAAACTAGATATTATCTATAACATAATATTCTACATAACATAAAAACTTTAAAAAACTTTAAACTTTCTTAGCAGCCATCCTTAAATATGAGGATAACTACTTTTGTTAGATAATCTCAGGCACAACCAATTCTTTCTTCTGAGCATATTAAAAATTATAATTATTAAAAAAATATAAAACAGAAGCCATCATTTGTAGTGGAAGTACAAATAAAATTTCCATATATATATTTTTACTAGATTTAGAAGTTATTTATGAAAATTTTTTTGTTGGAATAGCGTGAATTTTTTTGTCAGCAATATTAGATAAATATCTATGTTTCAATAACTCTTCAAAACAAATTCTATAATAAAGTAAAACTGTATGATCTACATAACTTATGTATTGACATTATTCTTGGTACAGATTTTTATGAGTTGCATGAAAGCATAATCATTAAAGATAGTGGAAAACGACCACCTATAACCTTGGCAAGTCCTACAATAATGAATATTAAACCATAAGAATTGTATACAAATTGCAGAAATAATTGCCCCACTGGTTTGGCAGCTACTGTTCATAAAAAAATATGTATTTATAAGAAACTCTGAAAACAAATTATTTCACTTATTATAAAAAGAGGCTTCCTCCTTTAAAACTGCCCTGAGCCCCAAAACGTTACAATCCACTACTACACATTGGCTTAATATTTTATATTTTATATGTTCTCCAGGAATGAAAATGTGGAAGGAAAAACAGTTTGCTAATTGATGGTTATTTTTCTTTCATATGCCTTCAATTGTTGTGGAAAAAAATTGTACACATGAATAGGAAAGAAAATTGTTGTGGTTCATATGCTTTAAACAAATACCTTTCCAGACAGATCCTCTTTCAACATTTATACTGTGGAGGTGAAACATCAGCATATATTTTGAATCGAGATAATACTCAGTAAATAGAAATTTAACTATACTATTTGTGTTCCGATATCAAAAATGAAATATAGCTATAGTTACAAATCAATTTAAATTTATGTATATTTTTTATAGAAAAATAATGACCCAAATTTAGTAAGGATTTTTGACATGCACAATTTAAAAAAATTTGACTTAGTCATAAAACTCTAGAGTGCGAAGTAAACAGGGATGGTGGTCATAAAAATAAGTTAAAGTGAGAATTTTTTTAAAACATGAATACGGGTAGATGGAAAAAAAATCTCAATTGATTAAGTGGTAGAGGGTGGTACTTTGGCACCTGACAAAAACTGTACATGAAAGGGGATGGGGTTGTGTGACTGGTTGGGGGAAGAGGGTTTGATATTTACACCAAAAATTTTGCCAAAGGAGAAACAAATCCTAGATCCGCCCCTGTTAGATGCATATCTTTGACCTTAGATTAAAGTAATCGTGATCATTTTTTCTAAATACAAAATTACCACCATATACTTCTTTTGATGACGACAAAAAAACCCTGGCTTTAAGGTAAAATGCTTTTTGGAATTACAATTTAATCAGTTTCTTTTCAACGCAAAGTAGACAACTTTTTTAAGGTTGCCTACTTTGCCTAAAAAAGAAGTTTTGATGCTGCAATTACTTTTAATGAGAAAAGCTTGGTATTTTTAACTGACACATAAGTTTTTTTGAGCTACCACACATCATACGGTACTTCAAAACCTGATCCTCAGCGGCTCATCCTTCCTACTTAGTTAGCTCAACGAGATAAACTAAAGTCTCACCTGATGAATTTAAGCCTTAACCTGATAAATTTTAGTCCTACCTAATAAAGTTAAAATACTCTGCAACGCATTATAAGAATGTTCTCATGCTAGACACAATGAATAAGAAAGTTTTTAGATAAAACTCAACCTTTAGATTGTGTTACCTAATTCCCACTCGATTACAAAAATTTTAAAAATTAAAAAGTGAGCTTGTTTAATATATAAAAATTAATTATATATATATATATATAATATATATATATATATATATATATATATATATATATAAGTTAAAAAGTGAGCTTGTTTAATATTCTAAGTAAACCATCATTAAGAAAATACTTTTTACTATAAAGACTGATACTTTGGATATTACCCTTGCTAATCACACTGTCATTAATTATCTAAATATTTTTTTTGATGCAAGGTACACCAAGCTGTGTTAATTCAGATCATAGGTACTCTTTATTTTCTCCTGATATACAAGAGTGGTTCTTTCACAAAAGGTTTTGCAACTGGTAGGACAACTGTTTATAACCCAGCTGGCAATGGCGAGTTAAAAGATATAATGACATTAGTAGGACTTCAATATTACTCACCATTGTATTAAAATAGAACATTTTTTATATGCACTTCATGCTTCAATAATATTATTATTTAACTTCTAATAATTAGAATCCATATAAATGTCTTGTTAACGTTCACTGAAGATCGCCATCAGGTTTTTCAATTCATTCTTGGCTAGTTATCCCACTACCTGTATTTATGAAGAAAAATATTCTTCAAAGTAAGTATGAAGATTCTGTAAAGAAGTTCTAGCTCATTAAAGCAAACTTTCACAATGCATATATAAAACTGATTTAAGGTCCAGAAATCATGGTTTTTACTAAATAAATTTCCCCAATTCAACTAAAGTCTGAAATACAGACATCAACTAATAGTCAAGAAACCACTCCTATTAACTGTAGTAAAACTTTATTAATTACAGAAAAAAAAATAAAGAATCCATTCCAAGTGGACACCGGATTAATAAAAAACGTGTTTTGAACGTTCAAAAGACGTCCAAAACGTTCAAAAGACGTTCAAACGACGTAAAACAGGTATAAGACGTTAAAAAGACGTCTATTTTACGTCCGTGCCCACTGTGTTAAAGCAAAAACATTTTTTATTTCATAGATCTTCATAAGTTTGTAAAGCTTCAAAAAAAATTTAAACTATAAACTTACTTAAATATTTTTAATAAAAGACTAACTGACATAAATGCTATTAAGATATATCTTGATGTACAATATATCAATAGAAATAGCAAAACGAACAAGTAAACATGTGTTAGTTGTTATTTGTTTTCTAATTTTCTTAGGCTGTTTAGATTGTTGGAAAAGTAAAAATAAGAAGAGTTAAAAAAGAAGTAAAGAGAAAAAAATTAAGTGGTAATGTTTTTATTTTGATCTCTTTTAAAACATTTTTTATTTTGTTTAACAACATCGCAATTTTTATTGTAAGCTAAAGTTTAAATAATTTAAACAATTTAAAACATAAACAATCTAATTAATTAGAAAATAAGATTAAGTATATTAAAGTTAAATTTTAAGGAAATACATTTAAGCGCGAATTAAGGTTGATTAATAATATTGTTTTTTTTTGTTTATTAGATGTAGAAGTTAATTTTTTTTTAATTTAATAATAATTTAATTTATATTTATTATTTTTTAACTTAGTCTGCTTTATTTATAATTTGAGTACGAGTGAAAATTGTGAAAATTACTTCCATTTAGTTAACCATGCAGATTAAATTCAAACTATATTTCAATTTTATAAATATTTGAGTGGAGTTTAAAATATTTAAGTGAAGCATTTTTTAGAACTTGGTTTCTATTTATTTAACGATGATTGCGAAGTAAAAAGTAACTTTAAATTATGTAATTATTTTTATAAAAAGTTGTATGTTATATACATATTACAGGTGTATATAACATACAACTTTTATCTAAAACAAAAGGTTATTCATAATAGACTTGAGTTTTACTATATTATAAAAGACCTAACAAAAATACTTTTATTAGTAAATCTACTTTCAATTAATATATTTTTCAAAACTATAAATTTATTTGAGTCTTTACAAAATTTGTTTTGATAAAAATATATTTAGACAACTAAACAAACAAAGACAAACTTTTTTTATTAGATTTTTGTTATCAGGATTTATATTAATTTGTACTCTTTACATTTTATTTCCTTTTTTCATAAAGGAAATTTGAAACTTAGATTAGGTATAAATCATTTTATGATTAGATTAATTGATAATGAATATATATATACACAGTAGTAATATATCCTTGAATCGAACTTAACATTGTCAGTTTAGCCTAATCTAAAGATGAAATTTTGAAAGTATCAAAATATCAAAAAAATCATTGATTTTTTAAATATTTTGCTTATTGGTACTACTACAACTGGTAGAATTATGCTTCATATTTTTATTAAAATATAATATTACCATATCCAAATTTTATTTTATTTTACTTTTCTTTTTTTTTTCCTTTTCTTTAGCACTGACATCTATTACTACTACCACTAATAGGATTATGCTTCATACTTTTATTAAAATACAGATTTTAGCATGCCTAGTTTTTATTTAATTCTTTTTTTTTCTATCCTAATCTTAATTTCTTTTCCATTTCTTTAGCACTGACATTTGGTAATACTACAACTGATAGGTTTATGACTTATAATTTATTTAAAATGCAAATATTAACATGTCCAGTTTTTATTTCATCCTACTCCTAACTTTTTTTTCATTCTTTTAGCACTAATATATAATAATAATGCAACTGGTAGGGTTTTGCTCCGTGTTATAAGACAAAGAACAGCATGCCCAGTTTTTATTGCCTTTTAATTTTTTTTATTTGCTTTGCCGTTTGATATCACCGCAACTGGTAAGATTATGCTTCATACTTTTATTAAAAGAAAAATGCTAACATGTTTTTATTTTATTTTAACTAATTCCTAATTTGTTTTCCATTTGCTTAGTTTTGATACCGTCTGATACCACCGCAACTGGTAAGATTATGCTTCATGTTTTTATATATATATAAAAAATACTAACAAGCTTTTATTTTATTTTAACTAATTCCTAAT